TTTTTTTTTTCTTCCATGTTTGTTATGTTCATGCTAGTGAAAATATTTTATGGCTCATGGAAAAATAAGGGAAAAATGAAACCCTCTGTCCACTTTAGATTTCATTTTCCCTTCCACTTTGAATTTTTATTTTAGTAATTTAATTAGGTATATATATATTATATATTTTATATAGGTACAAAATTATAAGTAAATTTAAATTCATATTTATAGGTATATTAATGTACTTACACTTTTGTATTCGCGTCTATATTAAAAAAATATATATCTAATCAGAGAACTAAAATCAAAATTCAATCTAACCCGGACAATAATGAAGAAAAAAAAATATTTTATTTAAAGATGATAATTAAATTTTAAATTGACATCAAATGGAAACTTACATGACTAGCAAGGATATATAGGATGAAATTGAGAAGCCCTGGGACCCATGTTTTACCCCTAATTAGGTGATCAGAAATATCATTGTTGAGTTTAGTCTTGTTAAGATTTCTGCAGTGTCTGTATATTGGATAAATTCGTGGCACATATTGCAACAGAATAAGTGAATTCATAATCCTCATTATGTTCACAGCTCTCGAGGCCCTCAGGGTTGGAAAGAAAACTAAAATTGTCATCTGCACACATGTACATTGCAATGTGAGAGCCTTAGTCATTAAAAAATAAAAAGAATTATAACACAAGTAACAAAACCAATCAATTAGTTTCTAGTCTCAAGCTCAACTTAAAGATATTATTATTAGGAGGAGAGGAAAGCCTTGATTAAATTATACATAATTAGGAAATGGTTTCTTACTTGCGGAACAGGAAAAGCAGCTAAAATGGCCATTGTGATGCTCCAAACATCTGCTCGTCCTATATAACGACTATCACGAATTTCACGAATATCACGAATAATGCGCCCCATGTAGGAGAGATCTGCCAATGATCGCAAAACAATAGCTAGTTTTCATGTGGGTTTAATTTCAGGAATGGTTTTGGGTTTTGTTTATGGTGATTCAATCGTGACAAAACCCAATAGTTACGGCCACAAAAGTCCCGGGATCAAAACTTGTAACTGCACCGTTACTAATGTCTTTAGTCACGAATATTCGTGACTAATACTGCCAAAAGTCACGGAAAAAAAGTGTCTGTTGTTTTTTTTTTTTTTTTGTAGTGCACGTTATTAAACCACATGTTTTGCAATATATATAAGAAGAAAAATCAAAGTCTTAAAAGTTTATTATGTAAGCCACATGCTTCATAATGTTGACGCATTTGCAAGTCAATCCAGACCTCTTTGTTTTTTGTCTCAAACAACTTCATTAGGGGAAAAATAAATTTAAAAACTGCAAGTAGAAAATACATTCACACATGGGTTGGCTGATTTTGCCATTCATTCTTTCATTTCTACAATTTTTCCCCCATAATCTTCGTAAACATACCCATTAGGCTCCACTGGAGACAGCTGATTTGTGATGTCAATATCTTAAAAGAATTAAACCTTTTGTACCCTACCCACAATGAAATATAAAAACAAAAAACTTAGACAAAATAAATAAAAAGGAACAAAAATCATACAATTAAAAAAATACAGTAATGACCCGAAATTAAATAAAAATCCATCCCTACAGTAAAAGGAAGAGACCCTTCATACGGTTAATAGTGGTTCTCCTCTAAGGTAAAGAAGTGATCATGTTATATAATATAGGGTCAATTCTAGTTTGGTATGATGTGGTTTCACCGGTACGGCAAGTTTGCTCCTATCCTCTCAATTTTTACAATTAAATACCCCGATCTTTCCAATTTGTTACAATGCCGTTCCCCATTTCATTCTCAATGTCTACAATGAATAACCCACTAAAAAGTTGGAGGCCTTCTTGAGTTCAATCAGCCTCCTGAGAAAACAGTTAAATTCATATGATAGTGGGATTGCATGGAAATGGGCATTGGGCAGTCAATTTGATTTACGACATTCCGACTAATATACCAATCCCCCACAGACACTGCAATTTTCTATCAAAGTTCAAATTAGTCGGATAACAGTCTTAGGCTTTCAGTTGCTACTGTGAACGCCTAAAATACATGAACAGCAACATTACATGACAGACAGATGTAACTATGATTTTGTTGTGCGGAAACTCCCTTTGATCTTGTTCTCAATGGACTATGTAACAAACTCTCACAACTCACAAAGATGAATGAAACACTCACACACGTAGCCAAGCAAGAAACGAATCCTTCTCTGCACTTTGCAATTTCAGATTTTTGAAGGAGGAGAGCAAGGAGAAACCAAAGAGAGGGGAGAATGACATAACAATTGGAGAGAACCTTGGGGAGCCTTGAGGCAAGGATTCTCTTTCTCCTCCTTGTTTTTAGTTTCTTTCATTTTATTTCCTTCTTGTATTTTCTTAGTTTCAATGTAGCTTCTTATTTTTCTAGGGCTTTGGTTGAATCCCTAAATATGATTACAATTTTGTTTTGATGCTTTGAGTTTATGGATTTTTAGATGTTGTTCATGAATTTATTTTTACTAATTGAATCATATGTTATGTGTTTGCTTCTTTTGATTGATCACCTTAGGGCCACCCCTATCTTAGGGTACACAACGCTGTTACGAACTTGTTTTTGGGCGTGACAGAAAGAAAAAAAGAACAGTGAAATTCATATGAAATGAGTTGGTAAGCTTGCCGCAATGTTCTGTTTACCATTACTATTCGTTATACAACCAATTAAAGGGACCGATACATTGAGTCGATTTTTTCATTTGCAAGCCTCAAGCTAGTGAAGCTACATGTAAGATGAACCGACGCTATAATTATTTTCTGTCGAAAATACATGTGTGCTAGCTACATGTAAGAATTATACAAACGGAGGGCTGTGCCCGTCCTAATAGTCTCTAAAATCTAAGATTAAGGATACTCCTAATTATGCAAACAATAATAATGTACAAACTTTATATAACTGGTTTCACAAAAATCTGGTTATAGATAATTAACAAAGGCCTTATAGCTAGCTAGATAACAAGTGGGTACCTGACTTTGCACAATATTGCATGTAATAACTTAAGAATTGCCATGTTCATTTATCTCAATAAGAGTGTCGCGCTGTGTCTCTGTCTTGTGTTCAGAGACAATAAGCAGTAAATCAGAAGCTCTTATGGCAAAGACTTCAACCTTTTTATGAGACTTGAGAGTTTTGTTGGAGATGGGCAAGTCGGAAAAGGAGGTTGATTTCGCTGCCCAACTCATAAGTTCTTGTCCATAGAGATCACCCCCGGTAAGACAACCTATAGTGTTTGACAAGCCACTTCCTACTCCACCATGGCCAGTACTAGTAGTGTTGTAGGTAAGAACACTGCCCCGTGAGATGATGATCATCATATCAAGTGGCTCCCCCTCTCGAATAATATAGTTGCCTCCATCATACATTACTTGCTCAAGATCCTTCAAGATTGCATCCAACACCTCTTGGTCCATATCTCGAAGCGTTGGCACCTGAGATTAAGTACATACATGTAATTGAGAAACATTAAGAGATCGATACAAAGCTAGCAAACAAGATGTGTGAGAAGAACTTGTACGTCCTCTTCTTCTTTTCTATTTGAGCTAATGATAACTTATACTTTTCCATTCTCACACTAGTGTGAATCTGTTGCTTGTAACCACAAGTTTGTATATTACAAGGGGTTTTTAAACTTTTTAATTTTTTTGATTATTTAGTCCTCAACTCGAAACTCTCAAATCAGTTAATATAGTCCTTCATCTTTTAGTCTACATAGAAAGGTGGTGTTGATGTTTCAATACTTTTTTGGTAGACATAGAAACATACTTCCTTTAGTTTAGGCAATAAGAGATGGCGCTTGATAATATCCTGAACGTAGAAGGGAAGAATAGAGAATATATTCTCCACAGCAAGATCTTCCTCTCGTCGAAGTCGTCTTCGTACTATTTTATGGATATCCCCGGATGCATTAGAGAGGCCATATTCATCTGACATTCGTTCTATGTCTGACTCTATCTTCCACATCTTCAGCCAAATCCAATTTTCCTTGTTAGTCAACTGCATAAATGTCTATTCAACAAAAGCTAGTTCAGTCCTCAAGTTTAATGCACAATACATCATTTTTTGTATAGTTTTATATGTATGTGTATGCATACGCATGATTTAAACAATTAATTCTGTAATCCTAATAATATGTCATAAAAAATGTAGAGCCATAGCAAATTTAATTCTATTATTAACACACATTGAATGATTAATAGGCTTTTGGATGGAAACTTATATAATAACAATGCTATGTTATTAGATAGTATGGTATATGTAAATATTTTCATTTTAATATGTAGTGTGAGATTCGCAGCTCAACAACATGTACTAAAATATTTAGGGTTTAGGGTAAGAAAAAAACACAAAAGCAATTTATGCATTCAACATCAACATGATGTAGCTAGTTTAGCTGTCCACCAAGTAATAATAGGGTTTGTCTAGGCATCCATGGCTTGCGTGTTGTTGTCTGTATTCTAAGGCCATCCCCAATGGGGGCTCTAAAATGGGCTGCACCACCTTTGGGCTCTAATAAATAGCAACTCTTTGAAAAAAACCATCCCCAATGGTATAACTTTGAGGCTCTAAATGGTAGAGCCTAACCGGAGCTGAAGCTAAATCTGTGTACTCGGTTGCAGCCCCTGAAACCCGGTGGGGACCACATTTGGAAAAAGCTGCCAGCCCAACAGTTTTTTGGCTCACTTGCCTTGCGACTCAACAGAGTCATACTCGCCCATTTTGATAGTTGCTGCTGACTACTTTTTCTATTTTTTTAATCAATTGGCCAATTGCAACAAGCTTGTCCCATTGTTTTTTGTATTTTTTTGGGTAAAGTTAACTCAGGCTACAACCCTCAAGTTCTAAATGGCTAGGTTTATTTTTTTAAACCATGTTTTCAAATCTTGTCCAATTTTTTATTTTTTTGGGTTGAAATGTTCACAAAAAAACCACTAACGTAAATAAGTTAACAAAAAACAAAAATAGCACATAAATTAAATTATATCATTAAAAAAATATCAAACCCCTAATATAGAGCCCCGAATATAGAGCCTCTCACTGTGGGAGAGATACCTTTAGAGCCCCAAAGATTCCATCGGAGCTCTAAATGGGGCTCTATAAACTATTTTTAGAGCCCCAACCATTGGGGATGGCCTTACAAGTGTAAGCCTAGAAGAAACAAGGGACTGGAATCCACTAGGAAAATGAGAGAAATCTGAAAAGTAGTTTTTTTAAAAAATTATATTAAAACAAAAGTAATAACATGGCAACACATAAAGGTTGCTTAAATACGCATGCTCGACCTTAGGACTACTACCCCAAGCCAGGCAGGTTATTGGAACTCTTCTAAATTGAAATCTCACATCATTTTTGCTATTACTTACATGTTTACTTTCAACCAGTGTATTTTTTATTGTAAAATTGTTTTAGTTACTTATTGTAAAATCCACTAGGAAAATGAGAGAAATCGGAAAAGTAGTTTTTTTTTTAATTATATTAAAACAAAAGTAATAAAATGGCAACACATATAGGTTGCTTAAATACACATGCTCGACCTTAGGACTACCCCAAGCCAGGCAGGTTATTGGAAACTATTCTAAATTGAAATCTCACATCATTTTTGCTATTACTTACATGTTTACTTTCAACCAGTGTATTTTTTATTGTAAAATGTGCAATATGCAAGCAGAACTTATCGTAGGCCAAACCTTAGATTTCGTACTCCCCAGGAGAAACACTGCAAGACCTTTCGCGGAAAATCTGTTGACCCCAACATGCCAGATTGGAGAGCATCAAGATATATACCAAAATCGAATACTTTTGCATTTGATGGATTTACGGGGCATAAATCATTTAGAAGTGTGACATTTCTGAGTGTACCATCATCACAATCAAAAATACGGAACTCACATCCATTTCCACTTTGGCAAGCATATCCCCAACATTCTATCTGTCGTTGAATAGAAAAGAAATACCAAAATGCTCCGAATACCTAAAAGATCAAGAAGCACTTTAGTCTACTTAGAGATATTTCAAGCAAATATCAAAGAAATATGCATATGCACTAAGATTGGGTGTTCGCATGAAAATTGATTTGGGAATGAAAAATCTTTTTTTTTTCTTCCATGTTTGTTATGTTCATGCTAGTGAAAATATTTTATGGCTCATGGAAAAATAAGGGAAAAATGAAACCCTCTGTCCACTTTAGATTTCATTTTCCCTTCCACTTTGAATTTTTATTTTAGTAATTTAATTAGGTATATATATTATATATTTTATATAGGTACAAAATTATAAGTAAATTTAAATTCATATTTATAGGTATATTAATGTACTTACACTTTTGTATTCGCGTCTATATTAAAAAAATATATATCTAATCAGAGAACTAAAATCAAAATTCAATCTAACCCGGACAATAATGAAGAAAAAAAAATATTTTATTTAAAGATGATAATTAAATTTTAAATTGACATCAAATGGAAACTTACATGACTAGCAAGGATATATAGGATGAAATTGAGAAGCCCTGGGACCCATGTTTTACGCTCTAGGTCAGAAATATAATTGTCGAGTTTCTTCTTATTAAGATTTTTGCAGTCTCTGTATATTGGGTAAATTCGTGGCACATATTGCAACAGAATAAGTGAATTCATAATCCTCATTCTGTTCACAGCTCTCGAGGCCCTCAGCATTGGAAAGAAAACTAAAATTGCCATCTGCACACATGGACATTGCAATGTGAGAGCCTTAGTCATTAAAAAATAAAAAAAATTATAACAGAAGTAACAAAACCAATCAATTGAGCGGTTCTTCAGTTTCTAGGTTGCCCAAGTCATTCAAAAAAAAAAAACGTATGATTTCATATCCCAATTTCTTCATCTTCTCGGCAACCACAAACTCGTAAATTCCAAAATCATTGAATTACCGCCCAAAGTACCTGCTTTTTACAACATATAGCAAAATAAACCAAAATGTTGATTTTTTATAGTATTTTCGTGTTGGATAATGTGAGGGTTCTGAGTTTAAGTTTCACACAAGGCTCTCAAATTCTCAAAGTTGGCCCTGACGATGACCCACAAAAGAAATGGAGGAACTATGAAAGAAAATAAAAGATAAAAAATGGAAAAAAAGGGATATCACTACAAGAAAAAAGGTCTGTAGTGACTAATTTCTCAGTGACCACATCTATAATGGTCACAAATAGTGTGCATTTAGTGACTAAGTATACTAAATGGTCTCTAAAATGATTGATTGGCATATAATTTGTAATTTTTAATGACCAGAATTGGTGACAAATAGTGACTACTTTAAATTTAATCACTGAAAACAACTTGAATTGCCTAATTAGTGACCAACATATATGCAACGGTGGACTTCTTTAATATCACACATTAGTGACCAATTAACTTTTAAAAATAAAAAATAAAAAATAAATTTATTTGTTCAACTTTACTCAAAAAGCAGACTAGTACTTTGGAATGATCGTCTTGAGCGAGCGAGCAGCGATCGTCGTCTTCGGCGAGAGCGAGCGAACAAGCACCGACCGTCTTCTTCAGCGAGAGCGAGCAGCGATCGTCTTCTTCATCGAGCGCAAGCAGCGATCGTCTTCTTCGTCGAGCGAGCGAGTGTCCTCTTTGTCTCTCTGGTTTTGATTTCTAGGTTTTGTCCTAATTTCAGGTGAGCTTTCGATTTCTCTGTGGTTTCAATGTCAGCTTTCGATCTCTATCCCTCTACATGGTTTTCTATCTCCCTCAATCTCTCTCTGAAATCATCTAGGTTTCATCTGGAAGCTTCTCTGCTCTCAATTACCCGGGTGCGCTCTCTATTCTTGTGCTTGATTTCGATTGATTTTGATTTCAAGTTTGATTTTGATTTGAGTTAGATTTTGAGTTCGACGTTGAGTTTGATTATCTCCCAAAAATTTCGTGGCTTGATTTCCTAAATTCTCAGTTTCTCCTAACTGTCATTTGGTTTGTGTTGTGATTTTCATTATGAATAAGAATATGTTCTGTTTGATTATATTTACTTCAAGAGATTATGTGTTTTCGATGTGCAAGTTTGGTGAGCAAATAAGAATATGTTCTGTTACTCTTAAAACAATATGTTTTGTTAATGATTTTTAAACTTGTTTTAGAGTGTTTTAGAATGAGAGAAATGGTATATCCCTCTCATACAGATCATCTACATACATATGTTGCATTGCATAGTAAAGAAGAAGCAGAGAATAACTATCTAAACTCATTTTCATCTGGATAAAAAGAAGAAGCACTGTAGGAGAGGCATTCATGGACTAATACTCTGGTTCCACAAGCTGCCACTACGACAAAAAATGTTTTAAGTCTCAAGGTACATTAGACCAATTTACCAGGTTTGATTTCTATATTTTTCTTTTAAAGTTAAAATTTTTGTTTTGTTTATTCTCTTTTGCTTATTTTTCTACAGAGTTTTGGCTCCAAGGGCTTGGTTGTGTTCTCATCCTTCTGGTAACCAATTGCAGACATTATTATTCAAATTGTGTTTTTATGTTTAGTGTTGGTTTAAAATTCAAATATCATCTGCTTTTGTGATTTAAAACAGGGTTTGATGTTTGAGAACTTTCAAAAGATGCTCCCGATGATATAGAAGGGTTGGATTCTTCTGCAGCACATGTTGCAAATTTGCTATCAACAGAGCGTGATGACAATAGGTTCCTCCCTCTGGATTTTTGCATTTGATTATTTCTTTAGTTGTCGATATACTCTATTTGAAATGGTGCAGCTACTGCCCTATACTCTGCGACTTGCTTTACTCTAATGGCATGTTTACTAATACGGAATTGAATTAGGGGGAATTGAATTGAGGATGAATTGAATTGAGGAGGAGTTGGATTTAGGAGAATTAGATTCCGGATTCCTGATGAAGTTGTTTACTAAACCATATGGATTGAGGGGAGTTAGATTCCGAATTCCTATTGAAGTTGTTTACTAAACCATATGGAATTGGGGTAGGAGTGGTACTAATTACTAAAATGTCCTCATTTTTTGGTTAAAGTAGATGACATATTTGGAATTTTGAAAATTTTGTGAGGATATAATGGGTAAAAAAGATGAATTCCTAATGGGTGAATTCTCCAGGAATTAGATTACCACCTCTTATTCAGGAATTGAATTCCTCTAAAATCAGGAATTGAATTCCGAATTTTGTGTGGGCCCCGCTTACTTTTCAATTCGGACTTCAACGGAGGCATCTTTCTTGTTGGTTGGGATCACGCTCGAATCAGCAGACGGATTGGAGCTTTCAGCGGAAGAGTCGTCTTCGGACGAGAAAAGCCTGAGTACACTACAAGAAAAAAGGTCATCTTTCATGATGACCTCTTATACACAGATATTGTTAGTTTTATCTTTTATATGCCTTTTACATCCTTGGCTCTAGCATCTTCTTTTTCTGTAGGTTCTGCTGTGAAATTTATAACCTAACCTATACATGTTTGTCTGTTGAAGATATTTATTGATATGATTTATTACAGGTTATGATGTGGTTCCTTATAAGTTTGGTGAGAAATCTTCGCGGACTTTGAGTTTAACTGGCTATCAGAACATGACTTTGAGTTCCTTATAAGTTTGGTGAGAGAGCTTACAACTCTCATCTTACTACAATTGTTTTCTATGGTGATATAAACCCATCATATTTAATTTGATCGCAGACTTTGAGTTCAACTGGCTATCAGAACATGGCATTCAAAGCCTACAATGGGTATGTCATTTGGACATAATTAGTTATAGTTTTGCATATATATTATTAGTTTAAGGAAGTAAAACAATGTTTTATTTGGGTATTGAGGCTTGGTTATCCTGGATCAGTTATCCTCGACTTCATCATCAATGATCCAGTCTTATTGGTTTGTCTTGTTGATGTTTTGTTTTTTCCTTTTTGTTTCTCCTTGTTGCGTGTTTAGCTGAAATATGTGTGTGCTAGACAATAGAGGAGTTTTTCGAGCAGTAGGTTCATTGTATTTTGCTGTGTTTATAGAAATGGGCTCATAAGCATTACACAGCAAAAGCATCAAGAGGGGCCATCTCAACAATGGAGAAACTTCTACTAATTCAGGATGCAAAATACAACTAATTCAGGATGCGGAATACATTTATCAATTTATTTTTAGATTTTGTTTTTGAGAGATACATGTCTTGTGAATTTGTTGGAGGAATGTTGATACATATATAGTTTTTTTAAAATGATATATGATGCCCATTTTGTTATTTTATACTTTTTCAAGGTATCAAAATTTTATCTTTAGTAGACTGTATCAAAATTGGAGCTTTCAACGGAAGAGTCGTCTTCGGAAGAGAAAAGCCTGAGTAGGGACCGAGTCGAAGTGGCGAGTGGGACGAGTGAGGAGCTAGGATTAGGGTTGCAGGTTGGAGGGGAGAGAAGGCGATTGCGAGCGTAGAGAGAGACATTATTCAATAGAGTACGTCTCATGGTTCTCTAATGCACTCTCTAGGGTTTATTAAAGGTTCAGTTTTTGGGTTTCAGAAGGGGTTTTATGCTTTGCCTGCTTCTTGTCATTTCGGGTGCTTCAAAATGTTGTTGTCTTTTTTTGGGTCGAACTGCAAAGGTGCAACTTATTTATTTATTTATTTTTATGTAGTTTTTTTTTATTTATTAGTTTTTTTTGAATATTTATCAATCTATTTTTTTACCATGATAAGTTTTTTTTGTTTTTTTTTGTTTTTTTGTTTTTTTGGCAAAACAGTATAGAATCCATTGAAGAATAGGGCACAAGCCAAGATACAACAATAAGAACACATCCAGGAGGTTCTTGCAATACAGAGACTAAAACAACAACACCAACTAAACACAAGTATTACAAGATTGTTAAAAAAATAGCATACAACTTTAAACCAAGCTAACAAAGAGTTATAGATAAGGAGGACCCAAATCCTTGCAGCAATGACTGCTTAAAGAAGATCAAGATAGAGAAAAAATCTCTCAAACTTCATGGGACAGGAAACACCTCAATGGTGGAGGGCTTAACCGCTCAACTTCCACCAGGACATTCCAAAGAATATCACAGCATCTCCTAATTCCCTTGATCCCCAAGCACAATAAACCAAATTCAGCAGCTCCACCTCCAATATAGAGAGATCTACACAAGATCTACCATAAAAGCAGCAGATCTAGCAAGATCAGAAAAATCCTTCCCCCCTCACAGCCACATATATATATATATATATATATATATATATATATATAGTATTCATTAGTTTCTAGTCTCAAGCTCAACTTATAGATATTATTATTAGGAGGAGAGGAAAGCCTTATTAAATTATACATAATTAGGAAATGGTTTCTTACTTGCGGAACAGGAAGAGCAGCTAAAATGGCCATTGGGATTCTTAACTGCCACCGGAATATTGTCATCCCAATTCTCACCATATCAGACGTACTCAATCCTGGTATCTCTTTTCTCAGGTGTTTTGCTTCACCAGAAATCTCATAAATAATGTGCCCTATAAAGGAGAGATCTGCCAATGATCGCAAAACAATAGCTATTTTTCCCAATTTTGTGTCCACTACGACACACTTCCTGTCGTCGTTGAGGATAAGACTGTAGAGTAACAAAGGATCCAGTGACACAGATAAAATATAGAATAATATTACCAATTCCGTATCCCATTTCGCTGCAGGTTTCCGAGATGCAAAGTCTCTGATCTGTTTTTCTGCCGTCCTGAACAATAATTATTCATGCAGATATATATTAATATATGGTAATTAATTAATGTTCATTGCGAGACAAACAGAGATAGATGCTCAATTGCATTTGATTATTTTAGAGTTAAAACAACTTACTTTTGAGAGTCAGATGGCTCTTGTTCTTGATCAGACCTCTCCATAACTGAAGCTTGTTTAGGATACTTGTTTATCCTCTGAGATTATTGCTCAACAAGGAGTATGGAGCAATCAGCCAAGAGTGGCTCCAATATATCAATTGGTCCTTCCAATGATTGGGCATATGGGGACCCACGTTATTAAATTTTGTTGACTAAGTGCGTTTATGTAAACCACATGTTTTGTGTTGAGTTGTTGATTGTTGTTGTAACCTTGGAAAGTTCTTCTGTATATACCACGAGAAGGTTATCTTAGTGTTGGAGCTTCTTTCTTTCTACAGCATGGAAATGGAGCAACCAGCCAATATATAAATTGGTCCTTCCAATAATTGGGGCATATGGGACCCCGGTTATTAAATTTTGTTGTCCAAGCGCGTTTATGTAAACCACATGTTTTGCAATATATATGAGAAGAAAAATCAAAATCTTAAAAGTTTTGTCGTGTTGCAAAACATGTGTAACATGCATGCAAATTGACATCAGAATATAGCTTCGTAATATTGACGCATTTGCAAGTCAATCAGACCTCTTTGTTTTTTGTCTCAAACAACTTCATTAGGGGAAAAATACATTTAAAAACTGCAAATAGAAAATACATTCACACAAGGGTTGGCTGATTTTGCCATTCGTTCTTTCATTTCTACAAAAAATTTCCCCCATAATCTTTGTAAACATACCCATTAGGCTCCACTAGAGACAGCTGATTTGCAATGTCAATGTCTTAAAAGAATTAAACCTTTTGTACCCTACCCCCAATGAAATATAAAAACAAAAAACTAAGACTAAATAAATAAAAAGAAAAAAAAATCATACAATTAAAAAAATACAGTATTGACAAAAAAAAAAAAAAAAAATCCATCCCTACATTGAAAGGAAGAGGCCCTTCATCTGGTTAATAGTGTTTCACCTCTAGGTAAAGAAGTGATCATGTTATATAATATAGGGTCAATTCCAGTTTGGTATCATGCGGTTTCACTCGTAAGACATGTTTGCCCCTATTCTCTCAATTTTTATAGTTAGATACCCCGGTCTTTTCAATTTATTGCAATGTAGTTCTCCCCATTTCATTCTCAATGTCTACAATGAATAACCCACTAAAAAGTTGGAGGCCTTCTTGAGTTCAATCAGCCTCCTAAGAAAACAGTGAAATTCATATGATAGTGGGATTGCATGGAAATGGGCAGTCAAGTATACCAATCCCCCACAGACTCTGCAATTTTCTATCAAAGTTCAAATTAGTCGGATAACGGTTTTAGGCTTTCAGTCAAGTATATAGGTTTAGCAATTTGCCTACACCCTCTTGGTGATCCCTCTGAGAAAATTCACTAATGAAAGAATAAATTACAACCTTAGTTTACATAGAAACCTCTTTGAACTCTATTCTCTTCCCAAGCTCTCTTTTTCTCTCTCACCCCTCTGCTCAAACCCTTGATGCTCATGTGAACTCTTGTTGGGTTGATTTTTATAAAAATGCATTATTGGATATAAATTCTGTTTTGGCTCATTGTCGCAGGTTAGCTTCCTGGTTGTGGATCACCATGCTCCGTTGCTTGGATGCGGTGAAGTTCTTCACGAAACTTGTTCCAATGGGTGTCCACTACAACATATCCGAATTTTAGCTTTATTGAACAAGTATAGCCTATCCAACCGATCCAACAATTATCCTAACCCTGGAATTGTGGTTTGGACCACATTTACCTCTATTGGATGCCACCCTGATTTTCTACTTGTTACCACACCACTTGGTAACAATGTTTCACTTAGATAAGTTGGAATCTCTCTCAATATATTGAAAGTCAAAGAAATGATGAAAGTGAAGACAAGTGGAGAGAAGAGCGAAAGAACTTTGGGTGAAAGGTGAAGTATCCTATGAAGTAATGAGTAGGAAGAGAGAAAGAGGAGAAGGTATCTAAGGGGCGGCAGCCAAGCAAGAAATGAATCCTTCTCTGCCACTTTGCAATTTCAGATTTTTGAAGAATGAGGAGAGCAAGGAAAAACCAAAGAGAGGGGAGAATGGCATAACAATTGGAGAGAACCTTGGGGAGCCTTGAGGCAAGGATCCAAGGAGTTGAAGATGCAATTCTCTTTCTCCTCCTTGTTTTTAGTTTCTTTCTTGTATTTTCTTAGTTTCAATGTAGTTTCTTACTTTTCTAGGGCTTTGGTTGAATCCCTAAATATGATTACAATTTTGTTTTGATGCTTTGAGTTTATGAATTTTTAGATGTTGTTGATGAATTCATTTTTACTAATTGAATCATATATGTTATGTGTTTGCTTCCTTTGATTGATCACCTTAGGGCCACCCCTATCTTAGGGTACGCAACGCTGTTACGAACTTGTTTTTAGGCGTGACAGAAAGAAAAAAAAAACAGTGAAATTCATATGAAATGAGTTGGTAAGCTTGCCGCAATGTTCTGTTTACAATTACTATTCGTTATACAACCAATTAAAGGGACCGATACATTGAATCGAATTTTTCATTTGCAAGCCTCAAGCTAGTGAAGCTACACGTAAGATGAACCGACGCTATAATTATTTTCTGTCGAAAATACGTGTGTGCTAGCTACATGTAAGAATTATACAATCGGAGGGCTGTGTCCGTCCTAATAGTCTCTAAAATCTAAGATTAAGGATACTCATAATTATGCAAACAATAATAATGTACAAACTTTATATAACTGGTTTCACAAAAATCTGGTTATAGATAATTAACAAAGGCCTTATAGCTAGCTAACAAGTGGGTACCTGACTTTGTGCCAAAATATGAATACGGGTTTTCAATATGTTCAGATGATTTATTCTTCTCCATAAGGAGGTATATATAAGAGTTTACAAGAGTGCTATACAAGGAATTAGATACAAGAAAGAATTAGGAAAGTATCTCCTAATTATACAAAGATTTATCAATTATATAAAATAGGAAAGTAAATCCCTTAATTAATCAAGGAAATAAATCTCCTTGATTAATTAGGAGACTCATGTCAACACTCCTCCTCAAGTTGGTGCATATACGTCACCAATGCCCAACTTGGTAAGTGAGTCATGAAATACTCTTCCACAAACAGCTTTGGTTAAGATATCTGCCAATTGATCTTCTGATTTTACGAATGGTAGGCGAATGATCTTCTTCTCAATTTTTTCCTTGATAAAATGTCTATCCACCTCAACATGTTTAGTTCGATCATGTTGAACTGGATTATGGGCAATATCGATGGCTGACTTGTTATCACAATGTAACTCCATTGGTTTTTCTGGCTTGAAACCCAATTCTGTCAACAATCTTATGATCCATAGTAATTCACAAACTCAGTGAGCCATTCCTCGATATTCTGCTTCAGCACTAGATCGAGAAACCACATTTTGTTTCTTACTCCGCCAAGTGACTAGGTTACCTCCCACAAACGTGAAGTAACCTGAAGTAGAGCGTCTATCAGTAATAGAGCCAGCCCAATCAGCATCTGTATATCCCACAACTTCGAGATCTCTATTTTTTGAGAACATTAATCCTTTCCCAGGTGCTGACTTTAAGTATCTTAAGATCCGATCAACTGCATTCCTATGTGACACACTGGGTGAATGCATAAACTGACTAACCACACTCACAGCATATGCAATATCTGGTCTTGTGTGGGCTTCCTTTTTGGAATCTGATATGTAGGCTCTGCGCCTTCTGAAATGCAATCAGTTATTTCATTAATGTTATCAGTTTCAGGTAAAGAAGTTACCTGAATGACGTCCTCAGCAGGTGATTGGTGTGGTACTGGAGCTGAAGAATTCTCCGGC